GAATCTCTTCATCAGGAAGTCTTGAAAACTTCTCATCATCAATCTACTCCTTCTTGGTCTTCTACCAATCTATCTACTTCTTCAACTCGAATTATTTCTTCTTCTCAGCCTAAAATTAACCATCAACATGCTACTACTGCTTCATTGGCTTTATCTAGAGCCTATCAGAGAAATTCGTTGTTTGGTACCGTCAGTATTTTTCATATTTTTGAAAGGTTATTCAAGTTGTTCTAGTTGGTTTTTGGTTGGTTGTATTGTGTCACTGGAAGATACGCACTAGTGGGTTATGATATGAGGAAATGGGTAATTGCTGTAAATGGGGTTTGCGAGTCGATTTCCCAGATGTGTATTACAAAGGTTGATTCTGCGAGAGAACATTTTTATAGTGATTTATTCAAATCCTATAATATGCTACTTGTTTTGTATACATCAGTACTCAGCAATTTGCATCCATGAGTAGGACACTTGCGTCTTGAAAATTCCCAAAAAGCCAAACGTTTAGCAAGAGTCTATCTCAAATTGGTTCGAACTGCAGGAACTGGCGTGCCTGTCGTTCTATTCTTTTTGAAACTGACACAGATTCCATACGATCATTGGGCAACGGTGGACTTCTCCCTTCTACAGTTCATTGAGAACAGAATCATTTGGATTGATTGACCCACATATGTACATAACAGTGCGCGAATTATGATAGTGCAGTCTTTCAACAGATTTACACCTGCATCTCTGATATTCCACAAGTGCTGTCTTCCTACCGTCCACAAATTGAATCATTTCGTGAGTCACACACATCAATTAATCTTTGATGGGTAGTTTGTATTCAGAGGTATGCAGGTAATTAACTCATCTTAATTTGCAAAGCATCTTTCGAGTGGAGTTTGCAAGGGCACAATTACTCTCTGGTGGTTTGAAATTTGTTGGTATCCGATTCCCCCCCCAACAACTCTGGAGTCTTCAACTTTCCTTGCTTTCCAACTTTGTCTTCCTTTCTTCCAACTGTGTCTTTACTCGCCTGCATCACACACAAGTGTAATTTTGGACACACTCTCTTCCTTGAACTTGACGTAGTCGCTGAACCAGAGTATGTATATGTCATTCTTGATTGCTTTTCTTTCCATTGACCATGACTTGATTGTCTTCACGCTTGGTTCGACTATCAATGTAGACAGGGATATGCCTGAAGTACTTGACCCAAGCGCTCCAGGGGTAAGCAAGCAGATGTTGATTGACTGGATGCATATCAATCATCCTCTGACTCCCTTCAATACGAGGCTCGGGATAAACGAAATCTCAGCTACGGTGCGGAAGATGCAACCTGAATGTAAGTGCTGTATTGTACAGTTGAAAGCTTTTCAATACTCATCTGGTTCTACAAATATCATACATCAACAGTCTTTCCCAATCCTCATAGCGAGGCGCCGGCTCTCAATCCCGGTATCAAGGGCCAATCTTTGTCTGCTCCACCCCGAATTGAAATCAAGAGCGAATCTTCAGCCAAAAATTACAATTTGACTCGTATGCCTCCAATCCCAACCGGTCAATCTCGTCGCGTGCAAATTGAAGAAGGTTCAGCAGTATCTGAGAGGGACAATGATATAGACTGGACCCGGAAACGCATTGCGTCTGCGGAACTCAAACCGAGTGTGAAGCATGTCAAACTCGAAGGTGCGGATAGAGTCCTCTCTACTTTTATCTTGATGATTCATAATCAGTGATGAAATCATTTGTAGAAGTTGTTTCAGTGATCCCCGCTCGTAAAACAAAGACCAAGCTGTCTAATAAGAAAGTGAGTTGTTTTCTACTTGTCATTGTTCTTATCTTTGGGCATTAAGGTCACCGGTGATTAAGATACATTTGATCCGCATTTGTAGACTCCACGATCAATTTCACAATCAAAAACCATGTCTGGTGGAGTTCTTGGAGTTAGTGATGTTGATACCCAGCCTCTGAAGTATATTAGTCTGACAGTCTGACTCTTGTTTATCACAGGCGTCCCAAGGTTCAGGCGATGTCAACGGAACCAGCAAACTCGAGCATTTGCAAGAAAGCTTGACGCAGTCAAGCTTTGATCAAGGAGCATCAAAAACCGGTTTTGTTTCCAAAGCCGATTCAGTTCCATCCAAAGACGTACAAACAAAGGTAAAAAAGGAACATCGTATCTTAACCCCGCGCAAGGATTCAAAAGACACCCAGCCTGTGGACTTGATAGACTTCTCGGAAACAGAGGTTATGGATACCGGAAATCTAGGTACGTATTCTACAATCTGAATTTGCTTACGGATTCGAATTGATTCAATCACTCATCCTCCTTTAGTAATTGGCAAGGATATCCCACCAATATCCCTTGATAAGTCAAAGAAAATATTGAACGCAGGCAAAGGCAAAACTAAATCCGGAGTGGATGTTTTTTGTGAAGAAAGAAGCCGTGATGACCGCAGTGGCGGAACGTCCAAGCCAAATGTCTACTATGT